AACTCTTCATTTGCTTTTGGAAACTGCAATCTTAAAGGGATTGTTCACTTTGAAATTATTTTTTGATATGTTTTAGCTTACCTCAAGGCCATCCAAGATGTAGGTGTCTTTGTTTCCACAATATTTTCAATTTTGATATTTTTCGGTCAAACCGTTGTTGTCTATCAGTCATATAATGCAGGTTTAGGGGGTCCACCCTTGGTCCACCTCGTAGAGCATGCACAAAGAAGTCAAAATTAAACATGATTTAATGACTCACAAATGTAAGTACACATTGATGGCCTAAGACACGAAACGAGCAGTTTGTGTGAGAAAACGAACAGTATTTAAATCATTTTTACCTCATGTAACCACAGCTATGTCCAACTGATCTGAAGGCATGGGCGCTTCGAAAATACTGTGGAAACAAAGACACCTACATCTTGGATGCCCTTGAGGTAAGCTAAAACATATCAAAAATTAATTTCAAAGTGAACTATCCCTTTAATGTCTCAAGCCTCCAAAGTGCAGTCATTCACAAATGACACATATCACACAGGCACTTGATATTCTTTGTAACTTTAAACCTGACTATACAAACCTGTTCCCTAAGAATACCACATCACACAACAAGGGGCACGGCACATGGAAACGAAGTGGCGTTTATCACACTCCTGTTTCCGTAACACAGCCTTCTTCAGCAGCCTGTGGCCCAGTAAAAGGTCATACCCTTGACCCTTCGGCAACTTTATACGTGCTGAACTTCCCCTGAGGTACTTTCCTTTCACCCAACTCTGCTTTCAATAATGGCCTGCCTGGTATTCTGATACTGAGATGAAGGACATATTGTTGACTGTTCTTTAAATGATGGTATCTATAGTTACAGACTGATATGATACAGAGTACTCAAGACTGAAACAGTGCTAATATGCATACCAACCAAACGCATGACACAATAATAGGAATGCTTGATATGCCTGGCATAGGTAAAGACAGAAAGAGTTATTGCCATGTAGCAGTACTTAGAGTTATGGTTGACACAGATCAAGGCTGTACTCAATAACACAATTATAGTAAAAGCCGCTGTAATGTCCCCATATGGTTGATGTAAAGGGAGGAGAACTTTGACCGTATAGCAGACCGAGGACCGCTCAGCACTAAACTCTGAACTGATGGTTTTAATAATGAAAGGCGAAAATAATATGCTTGCCGTGCACTATGTTAAATGTGGAGAATAAAAAAGAGAAGTCAACAAGAAATGGAGTTTGCCACCCATTTTACTTAAAGCTAGACTGTGTAACTCTTTTAGTTTATTCTTAGCTCTTTCAAAAATATATGTGCTCATTAATGTATATTTACTTCGTTCAAGAAATAAAGTATTCTCGTGAGTGTATAATATGCCATTGAAAATACATACGGGTAAGGGGTTCTAATGTCGGTCGCCATGTTGCCCCTCCATCTTGAAATTACATTAGCCAAAGAGGGACATACCCGTTAATTCAAGCTTCGCCTTTCGTGTTTACGTTTGAGTTAACACTCATGGACGAGGTCGAACTGGAAGCCATGTTAATCTTGGACTACTTTGGCCACCGTAGGAGTTAAAACGAAATCGGAATTGAGAGGAACAGAAACTAATATTCACTGGATGGTCATATACCTTTTCACCTCTAGATGGGGGTAAAAATCACACAGTGTAGCTTTAAAGGGACAGTTCACCCAAGAATAAAAGTTCTGTCATCATTAATTCACCCTCAAGTTGTTCCAAACCTGTATGAATTTCTTTTTTATGCTGAACACAAATCATATTTTGAAGAATGTGTTTAACCAAACAGTTAATGGACCCCTTTGACTTGTCAATGGTTGAAGAAATTCATACAGGTTTGGAACAAAATGAGGGTGAACATTTTTTTGGGTGAACTGACAGGACATTCAATGAAAAAAGTAAGATGGAAACTGATTGTATCCATTGGGAATTGATTGAATATACAGTAGATTGGATATAGATAAGGGTTGGAGGGAAGAGGATAAGAAAAAGAGTTAGTTATATCACTAACATATGAAAAAAGTAACATTATTTCAGAGAAAGATAACATTAATTACATTTTGATGAAAGAAAGAAACCATTTTTTATTTCATGCTGACTTCAAAGTGACAATAGAATTCGACATGCCATCACTTAATTTACACTCCAGAGTCATTTGTAGATGATAGAGACATTTGAAACTCAAGATTGACATTAATATGCCTGAGACTATTAATAGCATTTATCCTGTGACATTTGGATGAAACAGACATAAACCAGCTCTGATTTATACATTTAGAAGGAGCGCTGACCTTTAAGTGATACAATATTTACTTAAGGGATGTAGAAGAGACCATTTTAAGGCTGATGAAAAGACATTTTAACCTTTGTGCAATAGCACAATAACAGTCTGTCAGCAAGAAAATTCTCTCCATGGAGAGAACGCCATTTTAGTTTGTTTACAAATGCACAGGAAGCTGCGTTTGTCTCTCAGAGCGAGATCGTAATCGACTTTATAGCGCCTCGTCGAATTAAACTGCAATCTCACGACAAAATAGTCATTTCAGTCGAAGTTTGCATCAGCCTTGCAAATTAGACGGGAGGGGGAAACGCTTCAATGTTAATTTCAGCCTTGCGTCCTCGTCGGCGCTGACGTTTCTTTTCTAATTGACCCCGGGTCAAATGGGCCTGAGATAATATTTTGTTAAAATATTCTCATTTCCTGGGGAGTCACATTTCCATATAACTTCACCTCATGCTTTATTTATGACTTTCTTTACAATTCCCATGCACACGACATCTTAACTCTCCCACCCCCCCAACCAAGAACAGTTTAGTAAATATCCAGCTGTATTCATTATTAATAAATCTACAGTTTAAAAACCCCTCTAATAAGTACTTTAATTATTTATGTGTTCAGAGGCCTGGGGTGGGCTATAGCACCCTCAGTGTGAAGTTACAAAATCGCTGTATATAGCAGAACACTACTAAGTAGATACGTCACCCTTGACTGTAGAACATAGTTGTTAATTAACACGTCTGGCTCACACCCTGCCAAGACTTTGTAAACTTCACGCAGTAGTTGTTGATGTTTACTCTACTTCGAACCCGCAGCAGGTGTGAGACCCTGTTGTTTAGAGATCATCTATTGCTCCTTTACTCAACCTCGTCTCCTTCAACTCACAGGAATCCCATCATCTGTGCGGCCGTCCAGCAAGCTGTTTCTCTCATCAGCATGTGCTTGTGAGAGGCAGTCTCACATTTGATCCCCTCACCTACAATAAATCTTAACGGGGTGGAGACCAAAACCATCCGAATGCCTGGTTTTACAGTTCTCATCTCTCTGACACGATTTCCAGCCTTTTTTCCCCAGTGAGAAATTATAAAGGTGGAATTGTAAGAAATAGCCTACTTCTAAAACATCAAGTTGGTGTGCAATATAATCATTTTTCAAAGCCTATGAAAGTGTAGCCTAGTGCAGAACTCTTTTGAACAAGTGTGAATCCAACTGATCATAAACGGCTTATCCCAATCAACTTGTCAGCTGTATGACATTGGAGACTGCAACATATAATGTGGTGTTACATTTCTCCAATTCCTGCAATGAATCGTTTCTGACGAGAAGAGTTCTGAACTATTCGCTTTGTCCAAATTCACTCACTGGTTCACACATTATATGAGTCAGTCAACAAAACTTCAATATCAGCTAGAGTATTGCTAATGTATACAGAACTCAATGTGATAAAACAGTCAATTCTGGAAATACATTTTCTGAAGTAAATTTACGCGGTTAATATTCCACTAAATGGGGCGAATGGAAATGAGTAAATGGATGGACGCTGACGTCGCGCGCCTACGTCGCAGAAACGTCGTCACTAATAGAATGTTTTTTGTTTTATTATTATGGAAATACGGACATCCTCCAACGTAAATATCGCTGATTATGTTGGGAAATCAGTCTTTAATTTGCAACACCAAGCTATTCGATCTCATGAAAGTTCGTATAGATACGAAAAGCAGATCTAAAGCACGATCATGTCATTTCTCGTGCCATGCCATTTATTGGCCAAAAAATTGTTTTTGCGTGTAAATGCTATGGTACGCGTTTTTCGCGGGCATATGACACGCACTTTATGGCGTATAATAGCCTAAGTAGCTACGATCTCCCCACCCCGATTGAAAGGGCCCTTTCCCCCTAAACCTACCCAATGGGTTGTCAGTGCGGAGCACCCCAAAAAAAAACATTTTTGGCGTATAAATGCCACGAAATTGACAATCGTGGTATAGATAGCCTACGCACTCTCATGAGACTGTGTTGCGAAAATGACACAAATTTGGAGTGAATTGTTGCTATATTTAGTCGAAGTGTTAGCCTTTTCAAAAGACTGTATGGCACAAGTGTGCTTTACTGCATTTAGCCTGTTTTCAAATACAAAGCCCAAATAACGCACTTTTGATTGACACGTCAAGAAAAAGTCCTCATTTGTTCCTTTGCAGTTTATTTCAGTAGGCCTATTTGCAGCTGAGCCAGCTGTTTAATCACTATCAAGCAGCACGTGAATGATGACGCTTTGACATTTCGTTTCGAGACCATTAGCCTATATTTCGCCTTGGTAGGATAAATAATAAAAACCTTATTTTGTTTATACTCACTTTTTCAGCTTTCAGCTTCATGGATATTATCTTTTTGTAGTTTAAATTTATCGGAGATGAAAACGTTCCAATGATTTAAAAAAAGAATGCATATTGAGTCATGATTTAAAGAAACGCCATTAAGATTATTTTTCCAGACTCTTGTTTGCTCCGGGACACACCTGTTTACTTTCCCTAGCAGTTTATTCATTCAGAGGCGCACATAACCAAGCACCCCCTGTTGTTTAACAACTAAACAACCCCCAACCCCCTGCAAGTCACCCCCAGTTTAAACCCTTATAACCAATCGCAGGACCCGGGGGCGTAGGCCAACGGCTATCCCTGTGGACTGAGAATGACTTCATTCTCAAACTCGATGTTCCCCAGTCAAAAAAAAAGCGCCCGTCTTATTCATCGCGCCTTCATCCAGTCAGTAGCCTACGACAGTCAGTGCGGATCGCATCCTCGCCTTGCCGCTGCATAACAAGAGAGTGCGGAGTGATCAGGCAGTGCGGATGAGATTGTGCGCAAGAGGAGCCTGCGTTCATGTACGCTAGAGCTAGTAGTGCTGAAACGCGCTCAGTTGCACAGGCGAGCGGAGGAGCCCCGTTGATCACGAGAAACGGAGATTTTTCTATTACCTATACGAGGAATTTACTCCAAGTACTTGGATTGATGCAAGACCTACCCATATCAACTTGATCTGAACAACAACAAAAAAATTGTAGGGAAATACATGGCAACGATCTAAAGAAAGTTCTAAACTTTAAATAGCCAACCAGCACTGATGCTTAAACTGTGTTCGGATGGCAGTAGAGACTTTCAGCTCTCGGAGCTGCGGTTAACATAATCTGCCGTTGATTTTTACTTTTTTTTTTTTTTTTTTTTTGTAAAATTACCGTATTCAAGAGGAGGGCGAGGACCAAAAAGAGCTTCCACAGTCAGTCCAGTCGGAGCTTTCGTGCGCACACGTTTAGTCTGGACTGCAGGACAAGTGTTGAAGACTCCGGAAAGATGCTGGTGTTTTACATCGCATTGTGCCTTTTAGGAACAGGTAAGACATTTTGTAATATGTTAGTAGCCTAACTATTGTAATGATAAAATCAGATGTTTGCGTACTCTGTAAGGCTGCGTCAACATAATCATAACGCGATTATCTATATCTCAGCGCGCTGCGCTTTGAAGTTAACGCAGTCGTTTTAGTAGTATCATAATTGCATTTTGTGACTTATGAGGTCCTAGTGAGACCCTGGTGATATTGGGCGAGTGGCACTGCGCCAAATGGAAACAAGGCTCATTTGGAAATTAAACTTGTCCAATACAGGCGTGTACCCCAGCAGAATGCAGCTATAGCCTAGGCTACAGCTCTCCGTATTCTTACTGAAGATTACTTCAGCAGTGCCGTGATACAGTGATGGTATTATGGTAGGCTACATAACATAGAGTAATACATAAGGGATTACGCGCTACTTAATAATGATGGGCTACATGTCCAAATGTGGAAGTGTTTATTATTATTTTAACTAGCCTAAGTGTTGCAGTTTATATTTTGCACATTGTAGGCTACACCTGTTGTCTGTGGACATGAATAACAACTCTGGCACATAAAGAACTTGATCGTTCAAAATGTGCTTTTATAGCCTAGGCTGTGAGGGATGCGCTTTGGGAACTTTTTTTCAGTACAATGGAACAAGTGGCTGCGTTTCTGACTAATGCATTACTGTATAGGCTTGAGGCTCTTTTGTATGACAGATGTTGACTTGAAGGGGATATATTCAGTGCCCCATTTATTGAGATGGTCTAGCCGACTTGCCATAAGAGAAAAGTTGAAGAAAAAGCGAACCAGGTGTGACCACGATAATGGCTATCTGCTAACACCCTTCTGGGTTTTGGAAAGTATGTTAAAAGCCACAGAGGTCTAATGCACTGGAGATGTGCTGATGACAGTCTCCAAAACAGAAACACCTCTTAATAATTCCACAGCCAACGCCACCAGGAAGGCACCATCTCCTCTCTCAAACAGAATAATTGAACAGCATTAAATAAATATAAATGGTGGTGGGCAGAGGTGCGACATTTCTCAATGCAGTCTAAGGGGAGCAGGGAATGCGCGCGATCTGAAATATTATGCTCCTCGCTGTGTTGATTTATTCATTATTTTGTACTTTATGCTGTAGTGGCCGCGGGCATCTGGCGCTATCCTGATATGTTGTGATTGTGAGCGTGAATGAGCTGACTATCGCTTGCTGCACTCAGTGCGCTGCTCTTTGTTTCTGATAGAAAGCAGCGCTGCCGATAGGGTTTGGAACGGACTGGTTCCATTAATGAAATCGAATGTTTTTTATGACTTTCGGTTTTATTAACGTTCTCGAACTTGCTTTTTACCCCGATACAAACGGAATTGTTACGTTGACAGCGCGATGAGTGCGTCCGATTCCCAGACGAATGACTCTAATGAAAAGGTTCTTTTTAGTGAGTCATAAACAACGTGTAGTTCGATTCCCGAGTTAATTCTTAAGAATCGGTTCGTTTTAGTGAATCACAAGAGCTACCAGTTGGCTACAGTTTGATTGTCAATGTAACGACTCTTTTGAGTCGGTTCATTTTTGTGAATTACAAAAATACACCGTGACAAATGTTGGTTGATTTTCGAACAAATAACTCTTATTGAGCCGGTTCTTTAGTGCCTGAATCAGTCTGGAATCTGTTATTGTCATTACTTGTCGTGTGAATGAGGCAAGAAAGTGTTAGTTAAAAATGAAAAACACTTTTTACTCACCCTCAAGTTGTTTCAAACTTGTATGAAAGTCTTTCTTCTGCTGAACACAAAGGAAGATATTTTGAAGAATTTCGGAAAGGCTACACAGAATTTGTTTCCTTCTATGGAAGTCATTGGGGTCCATCAACATTCTTCAAAATAGCTTCCTTTGTGTTCAGCAGAAGAAATACATTCATACAGGTTTGAAACAACTTGAGAGTAGTCTAAATGATTACACATTTTTCATTTTAAGGTGTAAAGTCATCAAAATGCATTTATTTTTCTGAGTTGTTAAATTTGTTTGAAATTTGAGATAACCCTCAAATGCTTGTTTTCTCAAAAGTATTTGTTTACCAGAATCATTCAGGTCTGCTAAGTGAAAAAAGGCACGTAAACATGTCACTGCAGTGCACCACAACATGGAATTTGAATTCTTTGCAAAGAAAGAATTTGTTTTGTTTTGAGAGCTCAGCACGTAGCCTTGTTGTCGTGAGCCGTATTCAAGTTTGTGTTGTTTGTTACACACCAAAGGCGGCGCTATATTTTGCATTATTCTGTGTGCTTTGATTGAGAGAGGTTGATTCATTTGCGGAGAAGTAAAGCATCCTCGAGCCTGGCCTATTTTTACCGCGAGTCTGTTGTTTCCACGCCTTTTAACAAATATTTTATTCATTGGGTGTATTATTAACGCCGGCTTTGATTCAGCTCGAGATAAAGGCTTCAAAATCCCCCGGCCCTCTCAGATCCAAAAGTGTTTCTTCTCCCAATTAACGTCGTAACTGCAAGCGAGGCAAAGCGCTTTCGCTCGGCGCTCCAGTAAACGGAATTAAAAACAAATGTTTATTGGCGGTTAAGCTGCTCTTTCTGTCTGTCTCTTTGATAAATGAGGCCGCCGTATTGACACGGATGGAGGCGGTAATTAAATTTAAATGTTGAATATAAATGCCTAGCACCTTCACCAACTTGGAGGGAAAATATATATTAGACACAAATGTGCATACCTGGTTCACAAATAGGCTCTAAATTTGTACGGCATATGCTTCATTCGAGTTTTGGTTTTGAATTTTGCTCAATAACAGGTTAACTTCAGGATATGGTGTCAGTTCGTCAAGTAGCATACTTAGCTTTATACGTGGACTTTCTAGCCCGTTAAAGTGGGAAACATGACCCTGGCTGCACTCTAGATGTTTTTCTCTTCATTAAATGGGTGTGTAAGTAAGACAGAAGGAGGGGGAGAGGGAAGAATAGGATGTAGCAGAGCAACTCTTTGACAGACTGGTGGCAGCTGCTTTGGGAGGAGCAGAGAGGCTCCCGGACGGCCTGAACCACTCATCTCACCTGACATCTATACAAGCAGCACACTCTGAAAAACCACCAACAGCTCGCATCTGACTCACCGGCTCCCTCTCTGAATAATGGCTCATGGATAGATAGCGCAGCGAGAGAAAGATTGTCCTGCTTCACACAAACACACATGCTCCCTTACACACTCACCCAGATATATACACACCCCAACGTAGGTGCAAACACACATCTCGTTTATCTATTGGTCTCTCTCTTGTTTGTCTTATCTGTCTTTTTTCCTCTTTCTCTCTCTCTTTCACACACACACACACACACACACACACACAGTCTGACAACACGAAGGCTCAGAACTAGTAAAAAAGAGCAGGGATTGAAGCAGAGAACATGACAGAGTCTTGAAGAGACCAGCCCCGAGTGCTAGATATTCATGTGTATGCCCTTAACAAAGCTCCGCCGCTTCTTTCTCCCAGCCATAATTTGCTTTCTCGGAATGCCCCTCAGTCTCCCAGTGGAATTATGCTGCACTGAGCCATCAGTATTCCAAGTATTCTCCGGGACTTTAAAAAATAAAATAAATAAAAAAATGGCGTGGGGTTGGCAATCCCAGAAGGCAGCGTTCAAAGGAAGCGTGTTAAGATCATACAACTTTTGCCTACTGCTTCCTTCCTCCCTAGTCCTTTTGCCTTGTAAAGAGCCAAAGAAATACATGACTGTCCCTTTGTGCATTATTATTTTATCAATTTTATTAATCATTTTATATCCCTAACACACACTCTCGTTCGCATACTTTATTTCTTTCACACTCTGTAGGTTTGATCATCAGCGCCAGCATATGATTTAATAAATTGTCTATTTATTTATAATGGTGACGTATTAAATTGGAGTTTTTTAAAGTCAGTACTTTGATATCTGTGATATCCCACAATCCTATGTGTGTGTGCGGTGTTGACAAAGTCAATTCATAAATGTCTACTGAGAAATAATTACAATCTTTAAATACTTAGTCTAAGACTCACTCGAATTTGTTCTAGATCATTAGGCGTCATTATGGTGCTTTGGAAGCCTGTCTGAAACCAGTGTCTGTAGTCGGTGCCGTCATACAAATCTGCTGTCTGTTAAGTTATTGACTGACTGGGCAGCAAGGCATAAGCTGGCTTGGGTTTCACACATGTAAACACTCCAACCAACAGCATTGCATATCTGCAGCTTGTCTTGATGTTTTAGCTTTCTCCATTAGAGGGACAGATAGTTTGACCTGCACACAGAGCCTCCCATTAGTGGTGGGGACTGCTGGGCGCTTAGATTGAGTGGGGTTGTGAGGTGGTATTTCTGGCCTTCTGGGTTTGTTTTAGGAGATTTTGTATTATGCATGAGCTGAATGTCTTATAGGGACTGAAAATGACTTTTTTATGTGTGTCTGTATTGTTAAAAGGCTTAATGTTTGTATTGTATGTGAAGAGGTGTAATATGAGGTTGTGTGTCTATGTTAGGGAAGGTGTCGGATAAGCGGCATCTAGCGTAAATATTGAAAAAGCAGAACTTAAAATGTAGAGGTTTAATACAGAGAATTAATCTCATATTTTCTGTTTTCTTCCCGCTTCACTTGCTTTTTCTGCAAGCCTGTTTTGGGTGGTTTGACCAAAAATTTATATCACTTTTTTGTTTTTTTTCAGAATTATGCCGGTTTTCTGGTTTATGACGTTTTTTCCATGCATAATCAGGTGTTCAAAGCATTTTCTACTGGTTGAGAGAGGAATTACTGCAATAAATTGACTTTGGATGGTCTATTTTACTGTCAATAGTTAATATTGTAGAATAGAATAGCGGCCAGTATAACCTAAAATTGTTATTTCTTAACATTCTAATAACATTCTTATAACCAAGCAAGAACATTAATACAATATCTATAAAAAAAACAAAAAAAAAACTGAATGTTTTGAATGTTCCTGAAATAGCGTTTTTATAACTTAATGGGAACGTTATAAAACGTT